CATAAAGTCTAGATTCCATGAGATTTGAAGTTCTATTTCAAGGAACCAACTTTCAGTATCATTGATTCACTGCCTCCCTTATTTTCTTTTTGTATTTTTCAAACTTTTTTTTCCACAGTCGTGTGAACTGAGAAAATGAAAATAATAGAGTGTAGGCATTTTTAATTAAAATTTTTTCTGTGTTTTTCATTTTTAATGTATTATTAATTGGGGCTTAGTACATATATCATTCCATAGTACAGAATTACACAATTGTTACCACAATCAGTTTCCAACAATTTTTTTCTACACGGACACTAATGTTTTATTCTTGATCTCATTCATTTTTGCTCTAATTTTTATAATTTGACCCTTTTTGCGTAAGTGATTTTTGGGGGAAGTGGGATGGAGAGTTCATTGTCTTAATGGCAGCTAATTTGGAGGACACAGGGAATATATTTCTTCCAAAAGAAGTTAGAAAGGAGAGTATGTTCTGAAGCTGTTTGAGCGCCTTTGCTTTGCTTTGACTTGTGTGTGCTGTCACGTCGGTTCTGACTCACACGATGTTCACCAGAACAAACCCCCCGGGCCTGCACCGTCCTCAAACTTGTTCTGTGTGAGCCCCTTTTGTAGACATTGTGCCAGTTCATCTCCTCGATGCTCTTGCTGTTCCCGGGATCCTCTACTCCACCAGGCATGTCCTTTTCCAGGGATGGGTCTTCTGCTTACACGTCCAAAGTCAATGAGACAGTCTTGCCATCTTCCGTTCTAAGGGACATTCTGGTTCTGCTTCTTCCAAGACAGATCCGTTTACTCTTCTGTTTTCCGTATTCTTCGTCAACACCCTAACCACACACATCAGTTCTTCTCAGGTCGCCCTTGTTCAGTGTCTCGCGTTTCACACCCATCGGCTACATCACATCTCACCCCTTTATGGGGAGTGGTTACAGTAGATTGGTGCATGTCCCCCTGTGGCTGCGTTGTTGTTAGGGGTGCTGAAGTGGCCGTGACTCAGAGGGACCTGACATGTAACAGCAGGAAACATTGTCCCCTTAGGAGCCCTCTTTTTTTTCAGCAGTTTTTTTGGCACTTCATCCACATATCAAACAATTCAATAGTTCAATCATATCAAGAAGTTTGTACAATCGTCACAATCAATTTCAGAACCTTTTCTCCTTTGTACTCGTTATTCGTGTAGTTTTTTTTTCAATTTTGGCATAACTGTGCACAACAAAACAATCTCTAATTCAACAACTTGTACATGTATAACTCAGTGTCATTGATTATATACTCTTCATGCTGTACAACCATTACTGATACCCGTCTCCAAATTATTCCACCACCATTAAAATGAGCTGAAAAAACAGAAGAGCTCAGTGTCCCCTGCATAAAACCTCTTCTTCCTTCACTCATCGTAACCATAGGTCAAATTTGGCTTCTTTTAAAAAAAATATTTTTAACAGTTTTATTACCACTTAGTACAATTCAATAATTCAATCATATCAAAAAGAGTTGTATAATTATCACCACATTCAATTCTAGAACATTTTCTTCTTCCTTGTACTCATTGTGATTCATGTAATTTTTTTCTGTAATTGTGTCAAAAATACACACATAAAACATTCTCCAATTCCACAACTTCCACAGGCATAATTGGTTTCTTTTTAGTTTTCTTGATGTAATAGTCACATATCATACACTTCCGTAGTTAAATTGCTTTTTGAAAGTATTGTACCTACATTATTACATTCAGTTCTAAAGCTCCTTCTCCCAAGGATCCCTCATCTGATGGTTGGGATGTTTTGAGTTCATGGAACTATTGAGTCAGTCCATTTTAAAGAGGGTTTTCCTTGCTAACCTCTCCTTTACCAACCTTGATGTCCTTTTTCTGGCCATTGGTCTCCCCTGATGACGTGTCCAAAGTAAGCACACTGAAGTTTGTCTGCCCTCCCATTGAAGGAACATTCTAATTGCATTTCTTCTGAGACGGATTTTCCATTCTTCTGGCAGTCCAAACGATACTAATGTTCTGGACTAACACCACAGTTTTGAATGCATCGGGCTTTATTATTTTTTTGTCTTCCTTCATTGTCCAGTTTTCACATGATGATGAGGTGATGACTGGCTTGGGTCAAGCCGCAGAGACAGGAGCTGGGGTTCACATTCATAGTTTGCGTGGAGCATAATCCAGTTCATAACTGGGTATGGACCTTTGTACTTTGTATTGGTTTTGTCTTACTGTCCTTCCTAGACGATGTCTAAATTTGTTTCTGCTGGTGATGTTTGACCACGTTCATTCTCCACCTCAATTACCTTAAGCGGCTTAGTGGTTATACGAGGGGTACCAGAAAAACCCCAGAATTGCGCTGTGCTGAGAAGAGCTTTTGGAGTGTGCATTTTTCCTGCTAGGTGAGCATTGAGCAACTGGCTCTGAGTTAGTGCGCCTAGTGGCATCTCCTGGGAAGGTTCTCGCAAGTCACAGTGAATTTTTTTTGTAAAAGCAGTTTTGCTCAAACCTTTTTTTGTGATGGCTGATTTAAGAGAACAGTGTATGGTTGTGAAGTTTTGTTTCCTGCTTGTGAAAAATGCCACAGAAACTGTTGTGATGTTGAGCACAGCTTACAAGGACAGCACTATGGGAAAAGCTCAAGTGTATGACTGGTTTTCTCATTTCAAAAAAGGTGAAATGTCAGCTGATGACAAACCTTGTTCTGGATGTCCGTCAACTTCCTAAACCGATGAAAATGTCCACTAGTAGTGCATTTAGAATTAGTTCCACCAGGTCAGACTGAAAAGATTATGTAACAGCGTGCAAAAAAAGACCTGATTTGTGGTTGACAGGGGTGGGGGTGGGGTGCTGGTTTTGCCACCATGACAATGCACTTGTTCACAAGCAGCCATCTCTGCACCAGTTTTGGCCAAAAACAAAACCAACCCAGCCTGCCTCTCATGCCATGCACCTGACCTGGCTCTGTGTGACTTCTTTTTGTTTCCCTGAATGAAGAGGGACAGCGATTTGAAGAGATGAAGAAAAAAAAACAAAGGAGGTGCTGTCAGCTATCCAAACAGATGAGTTTGAAAAATGTTTCCAAGAATGGAATTACACATTTGACAAATGTATTATTGTGATGGAGAGTACTTTGAAGGTGTTAAGATTGTTTATAAAAAAATTTAAATACATAGCGTGGGGGGTGTTCTGGTTTTTTGGGTACCCCCTTGTATGTTGGGCTGCTAAGCACAAGGTCAACAGTTTGAAACCACTAGCTCAGCAGTTCTCAATGTGTGGGTTGTGACCCCTTTGGGGGTCGAATGACCCTTTCACAGAGGTTGTCCGATTCATAACAGCAGCAAAATGACAGTGATGAAGCAGCAACGAAAATAATTTTATGGTTGGAAGGTCACCACAACATGGGAACTGTATGAGGGTTCGCGGCCTTAGGAAGGTTGAGAACCACTGGGCTAGCCGATCCTTGGGAGAATGGTGAGGTTTCTAATGCCGCAAAGAGTCTCAGAAACCCACAGGGTCCATTCTATTGTGTCCTATAGGGTCACTGTGACTCAGAATGAACTCCACGGCAGTGAGATTCTTTTCTTCTTTTAAGTAAAAATGGTTGTAAAATATACATACCACAGTTTGGCATTTTAACCATTTCGGAGGACATAATTCAGTGGTATTAAGTACACACACAATGTTATGTAGCTGTCACTCCTATCTGTTTCCACATCTTTCTTATCATCACAAACTATCCCCATTAAATAACTGCTCCTTATCCTTCCC